ATTCAACATTAACACATCTGTTCCTAAATAAACAGAGGTGTCACCCTGTGCCCTCAGCAGGGAATAAGGATTCTCATGTTCAACTTTATATTTACATTTAAGGTTTATGTACGTTGGTGCATTGGTACCATTATTCCAAAATGTATTCACACGTGTATTGTGGGTCAGAGAAGTTTTAAAGTTTTTGATGAAATACCCGGAGTTTGCTTTTAAATATTTTTGTGATTATTTTAAAGCTGTATTTTTACTATGGATTTCGTTTTAATAGGGTTTTGACATTATACGGAAATTTTTGATTGGTGGAAGTGATGTGTTATAATTTTCTGTAGGAACCACATTTTTACAGTGGTATTGTAATCAGTGCCTTTTGTCGAGCGCCTCGTATGTGCCAGGCGCTGTACTAGGCACTNGTGCAGAGAAACAAACTGGAAAACAGGAGACATCGCATAGACTCCGCGGAGGAGCAGAGGAAGCCAACTGTAAATCACGGGTTCTTCCCTTTTAGGAAGGTCAGACACCCTCTGACATAGGTGGCACTGGTGGCGGCCAGCGGCGCAGTGAGCGCCATTCTGGCTCGGAACCGAGTGCTCTCCGCACCTTAACCCGTCTAATGCTCACACTTACTCTGTGAGGCGCTCGTGGTCATTCCCATTTTACAGATGGGGACACCCACGCAGATTTTTTTTAAACGTTTTGGAATATGTTTCTTTTTTTAAAATTTATCTTTATTGTTGAAAGTATTACAGATGTGTCCCCCCCCCTTTTTTAATTCTCACCTGAGGATACATTTTTATTGACTTTCAGAGAGAGAAACATCAATGTGAACGTGGTTTGTAGTTAGAGTACCAATAGTTTTTGTATAAATGGGTATTTCTAAGGGAAGGATCTTGAGTGCTTGGAAGGCTTGTTTTCAAGTATTTGAGCCATTTCCTCCGGTCTTGGTTAGTGTTACCTTACTCCATCCGGAAAAAATGCATCTGTTTAGCAAGGCGAATCTCCAGCCCAGAGCAAGGCCTTCAGAGACTTGGTTGCCATCTTCAGATACCTGAAGTACTGTCAGGAAAAAGGGGACAGGCTTCTTGTGTCTCCAGAGCAGAATGACCAGGGGCCCGAGAATCGACAGGGCGGGTCCCAGGATCCCAGCCGGGTACCCGGGCAGCAGTGAGCGTCTGCCTAGAAACCGGTTACTGTTGCCAGGTCAAAGTCCCCTTGGTCTTTTTATAGTTATTTTGTATCTGCCACCTCTCTAAATGTTTCAGTGTTCCTAATAGGTTTTCACTTGATTCCCGTGATTTCTTTCTTACCACTATTATACCGCATTTTGTTTTCTTGTCTTAGTGAATTTTCAGAACAATGTTAAGTGAAGCAAATTAAAAATACAGTCCTGTGTGCCAGGTTGTGACATGAAATGTTTTACTTTCTCTGGGCACCTGCCTGTGATTCAACATTAACACATCTGTTCCTAAATAAACAGAGGTGTCACCCTGTGCCCTCAGCAGGGAATAAGGATTCTCATGTTCAACTTTATATTTACATTTAAGGTTTATGTACGTTGGTGCATTGGTACCATTATTCCAAAATGTATTCACACGTGTATTGTGGGTCAGAGAAGTTTTAAAGTTTTTGATGAAATACCCGGAGTTTGCTTTTAAATATTTTTGTGATTATTTTAAAGCTGTATTTTTACTATGGATTTCGTTTTAATAGGGTTTTGACATTATACGGAAATTTTTGATTGGTGGAAGTGATGTGTTATAATTTTCTGTAGGAACCACATTTTTACAGTGGTATTGTAATCAGTGCCTTTTGTCGAGCGCCTCGTATGTGCCAGGCGCTGTACTAGGCACTTTATCTCATTAATCTTCACAACAGGTCACTAGAGTATTCTCATTTTAAATTTTGCCGCTGAGAACATGGAAGTTTGAAACATGTTAAACTTTCCTAAGGTCACATAGCCAGCAAATGCCTGAGCCTGGATTTTCCCCGAGTCTGTCTAATGCTAGTGCTTCCCTTGGCGTGTTTTCTTACTCCTGAGCGGTGGAGATGGCCTGTGCCTGAGTAACCAGCGTTCGCTCTCACACCACTGGGCTTCATTCGGGAGGGTGCCTTGTAGAAGAACGGCCCCTGTGGAGCCGGATAACCCTGGAAAGTCTCTGCTCTGGGCGGGTCAGAGGAGAGCAGCGTGACCCGAGTCCAGCAGACGGGGGGCTCTCCTCCCAGCCGGGGGACCTGCTCAGGGCAGCGTGGCGCTCGGGGGCCCCGGAGCGGAGAATATTTGAATCCCCCTTGGTTTTGAGGACTTTGGTGGTGCTCACATTTCCCTCAAGCTTCAGGTTCCTCTGGTATTAGTCCTGCTATTTCTGGTGTTTTGGCGTGCCCTGGGCTCAGGTGTCCTGATACGTGTCACTGCAGAGGCCGCGTGGGTGCCAAGGCTGTCAGGACAGGGCTTCACGAGGTGGGGGTGGGGTGGGGTTTGCAGCTGTCCCCGGAGCCTGCGCCTTGGGCCTCCAGCTGGTCTATCAGCCTTAGGCCACCTGCGGCTTTTCTCAGGCCGAGGGAGGGACTTGCAGAGTGTGGGAGTCACCCGGGGCGCAAGGGGTGCGGTTGAGAAGGAAAGTCCTGGTTCCCCAGAGGGTGCGGCTCCTGGGCCCTCCAGTCCCATCTCAGTAGGCAGGGTGGGTGGCGCAGCGGTGCTCTGGCCGGAGGCGCACGTGACTTGGCCACGGAAACAAGTCCAGCTGCCGGGCCAGCCTCGAGGTTTATTCTTTCTTTGCGCAGGAAGAGAACTCCCCTGAGGACGCCGTGGCCAGGGGCGTATTTGTGAGGAGGTAGCCCAGGCGCCGGCCTCCTAACACCCAGCTGGGCCCTAGGCCTCGGTACTGGGTGAGGAGAGTGGGGAGCGTCAGAGGTGGCTGCTGACTGCCCCCGACGGGCACAGCCAAGCTCAGGGCCCGCCTGGGCGCCAGGGAGGGTGAGGCCTCGCGCCTAGCCTGGCTTTGCTACCCGCGGTACACGTTTTGGTGGTTCTGATTCTCCCTCGGTCTCCCTCTGTCAAAAAGAGACTTGAGTTCAAAGTCAGTGAATTTAAGTTAATTCTATGTAGTAGCAAAGAAAAAAAATGTTAATCCCCAGTAATAAAATACATTCAAATAAAGACAGTGACATACACCATTTTCTACTGACACATTAGCAAAGATTGAAGTAAGCACACCTCGCGGTATTATTTTATCAGTTAGTATGGTAATTTGGAGAGTCATGCAAAATACTGGTCAGGGTGTACATTGTGCTTTTGGAAAAAAATTCAGAAGAGTTTATTAAGAGCCCAGAATATTTATACTCTACGTATTCACTGCATACTCTGGGAGCTCTCCTAACAATAATTTGTGTGAAGAAAAGCCCTGGGCACAGAGATGTTCACTGATACAGTATTTTTAGACCATATTTTCTATTACAAAAAATAATACATACTCAGTGCCAAAAGCTTGAGAACATAGGAAGACAAATTAGCAATTAAAGATTAATCATAATTTTACTGCACAAAAAAACATTGTGGTATGAGTTTTTCTAATTTTTTCTATGTATGTATACTTTAAAAAAAATAGTTATAACATGCCTTTTTCTCCCCTTGGCCATATATTTTGGGCAGCTTCTCCATCTGTTGACTTACCTGGGGAAACCCGGACCCTTGTTGAAACCAACTCTTCTTTCCTTCCTGGCTTGTGCCTGGACAGCCAAACATTGTTTGGGGGGGAAATCACCCAATTGATCTGCGTGGTTTCACATTAAATTCATAGTCATGAACCTCACATTAGCCCTTAATATTAACTGTCCAGAAATGCTAAAACACCTCTGTAGTAAATCCACTTTCCCAGTCTTCAGGAGGATATTCGATACCCCCTTTCTTCAAACCCACCATATGTAACCCCACTCGGCCCAGTGACCTCATCTCCAGCAAGGAAGCCCCACCTCTGCCACCAGGTCTCCAAGCCCACCCGCGTCTCCTCCCTGCTTCCCTCTGGATGCCACGTGGTGCCCTCCTGTCGTTTGTGCCAGGAGCTTAATGACTGGCAAGCAGTGGCTACTCAACGAATGCTACTGAACAAAAGAGTGAATGAGTGAATATGTAGCGTCCCGTATTATTATTTCTAATGAATACGTACTGTTCCATTGTGCAAATGTAACCTAATTTACTGACCACTGCTCTCTTACTGGATATATTTGTTTCCGATTTCTCTGTACACTGAAACATGGGAAATAATCTAAATGGCTATTGGGAAACTATGAACTATTATGGTTGCATTTTAAATCCTAGGAAGCATTTTTATTAACCTAGGGAAATGAATTTGTTAACTAAAAAAAAATGTGTGTGTATATATATATATATATATATATATATATACACACACACACACATATATATATATATAAATTACATATACAGCATGGTTTTAACTATAAAAGTGTATAGAAAAGCTAGTAGGAAATAACTAAAATGTTAAGTATTTCAAGTTGGCAGGATTACAGGTGACTTTTGTTTTTTATTTTTTTAAGTACACAGCAGTGTATGGTGTTTTCTCCCTACTTTTCTGCGGCGAGTGTGTTTTTATGGCCAGGAACACGGCTCCTGCACGGTTCCTGACTCTTGCGGACAGTCAGGCGGGGGCCAGAACCCTGTGCTCCAGAGAGTGACCTGCGCCTTCGAAACACGCTTGCCAGTGACAACTGTTAGCCTCTAGCTCCTTGCAGACCTGTTCACTGGCTGGGTCAGAAAGGGTGGTAAGAGTGGCATTTCCCGCGGGCCCGTGTGGCCGGCTGCCTCGTGCAGAGAGGGGAGTGACAGAGACGGGCCTACCGAAGCGCTGGTTTGGGGTGAGAGATATGCTCAGGGTCCGAAAGGCTTCACAACTGTTTTTGGAGCTTGGGGGGGCTCCTGCGGCCTGAGGCACTGTCACCGCCTTTCCTCGCTCAGTTTAAGGCAGCGGTTCTCAAACCCAGGACCCTTTTGGAAGTCCGGGAGGTCAAGACCATCTTCTCAATAAGACCGAGAGGGTGTTATCTGCCCCTTCCACTCTTACTCTTTTACAAGGGCGCAGTGGAGCTTTCCAGATGCTCCCTGATCACAGCAGAGCGCAGGAGCGGGTAGGCCACTCCAGCTGCCCCTGGGAAGCCGGACATTAAAGAGAGCTGCAGAGGTGTAAAGAAATGCCAGTCTTCTTGCTAAAAATCTTGTTCTTGCAGAAAACATAGTTACTTCTTTAAAATGCTATTTATGTCAACATAAATGGATTTGTTGTTTTAATGAACTAATTTATAAAACGTCTCAAGGCTGGTTGAACAGGGCGCGCACAGCCTGGGGGGTGGGCGAACTGGTCGGGAGGCGGCCACCGGGAGTCCTGGAAATCTCATTAAGCTTCCTTCCCCTTCCCCCCCCTCCACTCTCCTTCCAGAGATCATGCACGACGTCATAAAGAAGGTGAAAAAGAAGGGCGAGTGGAAGGTGAGTGGAACAGCCCCGTCGGGCCTCCCAGGTGAGCGGGAAAGTGTGGTGGGGGGAGCTGCGGGAAGGTGCGGAGGCCCGGGGCAAACACCTTGTTGTGTCCGGAGAATTAAAAAAAAAAAAAGGTAATCTGCTTATGCCTCTCACGTTATCCGATCCCGGTTATGAAATCCCTTGGTCATGAAGCTGATCTGAAGGCCCCAGGTTCCCAGTGGAACTCGAGCAGAATCTCACCCGGGCCCCACACAGAGGCAGGCGCTGGGATTCTGCCCACTGTGGGGAGAGAGATGAGACCCTTCTGGCCCCTCCCGCCCCTCCGGCAGCCGTAGAGTGTGTCCCTGTCTGTCCCCACCCGGCAGACACTGCGTCTGTTCGAGGAACCCTGAGAGCAGCGCTGGGCATTTCACGTATAATGTACCTGAAGCAAGTACTTAAGCCAATCAAGCTGATTGTGGCCCCAGTTCCTGGAGTGGGTGACGCAAGGAGTGGGACACCTGCCGACTTGTCCTCCGCTCGGGAAGCCGGCGTTTTAAGGATCCCTTGGTTGTCCGGGGCTGGGCCTTGCACTGGCCAGGGGCACACGCAGCCTCGCGGGAACCTCCTGTGTGCCACTGAAGAGTTTGTTCCCCAAGTTCCCCTGCAGCCAGTCCCAGGGGCGGGGAGCAGCAGAGGTGACTGGCACAGGAGTTTGAAGTCTCCCCCCACCCCGGCCTCGTGAGCACCAGAGCGGGAGGCCATCTGGCGGGAACTCGGCCTGTGTTTGTGGACAGAGGAGCTTTAGTAGGATCTCGAGGCAGCTGCCCCGCAGAGTGAAACCCGGCCCCTATACTGCAGCAGGGGCCTCCTGGCCACTCTGCCTGGCCTCTGTGACCTCGGTCTGCACCGTTAAAGGAGAGAACTAGCCCTGTTTTAACTGCGTCTGTCCACTGTGGGCTGAGGGGCTAGGAAGGCAGCCGAGGAACCGCAGGCGTGATGCTTCTAGGCCCCATGGCAGGGTCTGCCTCCCGCCTGGGCTGAAGCACTTTACTCCCAGGTGAGGTGCGGCCTGGTTACATTGTAATAGTCCTCACCTTCCAGCCATCCTGTTATATTGTAACAGTCCTCGCCTTCCAGATGTCCTGTTACATTGTAACAGTACTCGCCTTCCAGACAGTCCCTGTGCCACAAGTGCTCACTCTCCCTTTAAGAAAAAGTTACACCCTGAAAAAATACTCCCCAGTGTAGTTTCCTCCGAGTCTGGGTGCTAGTGATTATTTTGGTTCCCTTTCTTCCCCTTCTTTTTGCATTTCTTATGAGTAATTATTCTGCTTATCATGAAAAACGAAAAGTTCAATTCTTTCAAGCTTATAAAATTAAGTCAGGTCAGCGAGAGCAAACTTTTAACTCCCAGGTGAGGTTTACATGTGAGAGGAAAAGCTAGCACGCATTTCAGCACGCTTCTGGCCACAGGAAATAGTGACGCTCCGTATCCTTCACTTTTGCGGGGCTTGCNGCATGTGGGAGGAAAAGCTAGCATGCATTTCAGCACACTTCTGGCCACAGGAAATAGTGACACTCTGTATCCTTCACTTTTGCGGGGCTCACGTTGACGCGGTAAACTGATGAGAGGCTCGGGAAGGTGCCGTGCAAGGCCNACATGTGAGAGGAAAAGCTAGCACGCATTTCAGCACGCTTCTGGCCACAGGAAATAGTGACGCTCCGTATCCTTCACTTTTGCGGGGCTTGCGTTGACGCGGTAAACTGATGAGAGGCTCGGGAAGGTGCCGTGCAAGGCCCTAAGCTGGTCTCCTTGCTTCCAGGTGCTGGTGGTTGATCAGCTGAGCATGAGGATGCTCTCCTCCTGCTGTAAGATGACGGACATCATGACCGAGGGGATCACAAGTGAGCTCACCCTTCCCTCTGCCCGGCAGTGACACTCAGGCCTCCCCTTCGCACCCGGCTTTCCTCCTCCCTACTCAGTATTGTCTCACTTGACTTCACATACTTTTAACAACCTGGGTGGTAAGACTGGAAGTTCCTGAGAGAGGCCCAAGGCTGCTTGGCCATCACTGAATCCCTAACCCACTGCCAGTTGCTCATTCAGTCTCTGTTCAAGGGCGCCCAAAGGAAGGTTAAGTCAAGAAAAAAGGCAGGCTGTCCCACAGAGGTAAAAACGGGCAAAAGGCTGGAACAGGCACTTAAAAGAAATCCAAAGTGGCCAATAAATACACGAAAAATTGCTCACCCGGGTCCGTGGCCAGGGAGCTACAATTAAAAGCAGAGTGAGATGTGGCTTTACACTCACCAGACGAATATTTAAACTCTGATGATGCCAAGTGACGGCGAGGATGGGGAAAGTGGGAACTCCTGTGTGACGGGGTGTCGGTCGGCACAGCTCCTTTGCAGAACGCTTGGCAGCGTCTAGAGAGTTCGACGTGTCCTGTGGTTAGCTGTTTTGGGCTTACAAAGTTATTTTCTTCATTCATTTTTTAAAAACTATATTTTTCTCTATCAAAGCAGAAAATGTACAAAGTTGGGGTGGGGGGGAAGCCAGATGGAGCTAACAAGCTTCTAACAAGGGAGCAGCAGTACCCTGCCTCGCTCCCTCCCCCCCCCCGGGCCAGTCACCCCAGAAACAGCCACCGGCTCGCTCTTCTGCTTACCCTTTTGACTTTTCTAATAAATACTTATAATACTATCTCTTCAGTCACCGATGTCAGACTTTGTCTATTGACTTCCTGTGGCTGACGGGGGTGCAGCTCTCCCCTGCTGCACATAGACGCTTCCCTGTCCAAAAGGTGACTGTTTTAAGAGTCTTTATTTGGCAGAATTGAAAAGTTAGCAACCCTATGTTGAATCCCAAAACATGTCGGGGGAAGTATTATTGGCTTACGAAACTCAAGAATGTACAACCACCGGTGAAGCCGATGGCTGAGGGATCTTGGCGTTAACTTGACCATTACTTGGGGTGAGGAGCCTCTGTAAGTGTTACAGGGGCTGCTTCTAAAGTGATGCTTTATTCCCCGCGATCCCCACAGCGCTCCGCGTGCCCGAGGGCGGTGCAGTGGAGCAAGCACCCCTAAGCTCTGCGGGCGGCGGTCCCCAAGCCCCGCTCCGCGGGCGGCGGAGCCGACGTAACCGTGAGAGGGCCGAGAAAACCAAACGCCCTGCTTCGCTTTAACGAAATACAGTGTTTAGTTTTGGAACTATTGAGAGCGAATGTTTGGAATGTCCTTGTTTGACATTTAGAGGAAAAGAGTAAAACTGTCCAATGGCTGATAAGTAGACCCGACATGGAAATTCGAAAGGAATAGGGATTTTCGGGGGACGGAATTAAAAAAAAAAAAAAAATGAAGGAAGAGGCAGGTTTTCCATTGTCAATCAGAGCAGATCGCGAAACTTACTTAAACGGAAGCGGGAAGTGGGAAGTATTTAAGTGATAAGGCTTCGATTTTCTCAAACCTTGAGCGCCGCCCGGCCGGGCGTGGCTCTGCAGTTGAGCGTCGACCTGGGATCCAGGCGATCGGGGTTCGATTCCCGGCCAGGGCACATGCCCGGGTGGCGGGCTCGATCAATGACTCTCATCATGGATGTTTCCGTCTCTCTCCCTCTCCTGTCCTCTCTCTGAAATCAATAAAGATAGATTTTAAAAAATAATAAAAATAAATAAAAAATATAAACCTTGAGCGCTGTGGGCCCATGGACAGTGGTGACTGTGAGGAAGGGGAGCGCCCACCCCTAGAGTTTCACCTGTGCGGGCCCGAAGGTGGCCCGCACCCGGCGCCTCGTTTCGTGATGAGCGGTGGCGCCTTCTCGCTGACCCGGCTGCTGTCTGTCGCCTAGTTGTGGAAGATATCAACAAGTGCCGGGAGCCGCTGCCCAGCCTGGAGGCCGTGTACCTCATCACCCCGTCGGAGAAGGTGAGTCCCCGCGGAGGGCCCGGCCCCGGCTCGGCGGGTTCCAGGTTGAGCACGCGTTTAACGCACCGCCCTGGCCGAGTGTGCGGCCCGGCTGCGGGGAGGCTGGGGTGCGGGCGCTGGAGAGAGCGGTAAGCTTCCCGGAGTAGGGCCGCTGTCCGGAAAGCCCTGGCTGCCCCGTGCTCTCCCTCTCCGGGAAGCAAACCCGCTTCGTCTAATTAGGGACCCAGCTGCCGAACTCGGGTATCTCATGCTTTCAGGCTGACTTCTTCAGCATCCCGTTAGCGTTCAGAATTGCCTGTCCCATCGTTTTGGGGGGTTGGTTCAAACCAGCCTCCAGACCGGGCCCACCTCCCTGCTTTTGGCTGACAGCTGTCTCAGTTCCGGCCCCCAGCCCGTAAATCCCCCCCAGGCGTCATGCTTTCTTTCCGCTTGTGAAAACTGGCTTACGTGTGAGTTTCTGAGGATGCCGCTCAGTTGCCGGGACTTCGTCAGTGTGAGTCTCCTGGAAGGCTCCTGACCAGTTTCCTCGTTCGTGGGCCTCGTCTTCGGGGCCCACGTTATGGTGGCACCGAAGGCCCGCCGCCGTCCTTCGGGAACGATCTAAGAAGGCGCTTGTTCATCGAAACTCCCAAATAATCCTAATCGCAAGTCCCCAGAACTCAGGGCCAAACATGAGTTAGAATGACTCAAAACTCCCTGCTATTTTGCGCAAGTAGCTTGAAAGTCCTCTTGGATTTAACTTCGTCCAGGTACAGGTTCCGTTCGCTTCCGGCGTTGGATTCAGTGCCCCCCTTTTTTCGCTCCCCACAGTCCGTCCGCTCTCTCATCAATGACTTCAAGGACCCGCCGACCGCCAAGTACCGGGCTGCCCATGTTTTCTTCACGGACTGTAAGTACAATGCCGCCCGCCCCCGGGTTAGCGTCCCTGCACCGTGAGGCTGAGCCCAGACCCAGCCCGGGCACGGGAAGAAACGGGTCGTTGCCACGGTTGTCCTGGCCTTTGATTTTCTTATCAGAGGAAATACTGCATCAGAGACTAAAATAAGCCACACACATGCAACCCGACCAGGTCCTGCCGTCCTCCCTCATGAAAAACGGGCCTCCTCTTAGGCTGGAGGGCCTAATGCTGAGAGCATGTCCCTGTGCCGGCCTCGGCCTTTCAGCGGACGGGCTTCCAGCCGTCGCCGGGAACTAGCGCATTTCCAGGCGGTTTTCAGCCACCGAGAGGTTTCACCCGTGGTCCTTGTGTCCGCGGGAGACGCATCGCTGTCTTGGCCTCCCTTCCGTTGTTCGGCGGAGGCCGTGTGCGCGGGGCCCAGGGCACGGACGCCGCGGTCGGTCTTTGTTAACGGCAGAGAGACGGGCGGGCCGGGCTGGCCGACGGGCGCGGTCGTAACCGTTTCCCCAGCGTTCCCTCTGGCAAAGCCCACCAGTCCAGCCACCAAGAAAGTGAGGGAAGGTTCCGGCGGGGAATAATTCTGTGCTATTAGGACGTGGGAGACAGAGCAGGAGACGGCGTTAGCAATAACGAAGCAGCGATGCGCCCACGGTTGGCCCAGGAGAGGCGTGATCGTGAGGTCACGGCTCCCGCGGGCGGGTCTCCTGGGCGGCCCAGCGCCCCTGAGGGTCAGGGAAGTGCCCGCGTCGCGTTGCCCGGCGGTTTGGCTTTTCTGTATTTTATTTCTCACGGGCGCGTCCGAGCGCGGTGTGTATTTCTATTTCAGGTCTCTATACCCCTTAATCTCTCCTGGTTTTCCTCCGTCCTCTCCTCGCTATCAGAAAATAGTCTTTATTAGCTCCCATTATCTCAGTCTTTATTGCCCGTTGTTTCTGTTCTGCGTTGGCCTCGTGGGTGTTTCCTTATTACTTTTATAGCCTAGAGGTAGTGGATGTTTTAGGATGGGGTGAACTTTTTATTTGCCTTGTTAAAATCCTAATAAATGAATGAATCCGCCGGACACACGTGACCGTCGAGGCGAGCCAGCAAACCGTGGGGAACAGCCAGTGTCCTTCGTCATTCTTTCAGCTTGTCCAGATGCCCTGTTCAACGAGCTGGTAAAATCTCGAGCAGCCAAAGTCATCAAGACCCTGACGGAAATCAACATCGCGTTTCTCCCGTACGAGTCCCAGGTGAGCCGGGGCGCGGTCAGGGGGGCGGGGGACAGGTCCTGCTCGGCATCACTGAGTGAGCTCTAAGTGGGTGTTTATGCAGCGGAAACGCGGTGTTCCCTAGGGGTCTGCCCCCCTCGGCCCTCGGCTCGCCGGTCGGTTCTGACCTTTTTAAGGCCACAGTGCCCTTCTTTGTGGGCGCTTCTCCCTGCTCACAGCCTGAGTAACGCGAGGTAGCCAGTCCAGAACGGGCGTGGAGGGAGAGATGGGAAGGGCTCAGACAACACCCATCTGCTGCGAGGGGACTGTTTCTATGTAGAGATAGCCGCAGCCTGTCATGTGCTGAGAGAACAGATGGTGGCCTTCGTCATTAGCCGTTAATGCTTCCAGTGCCAGGGGCCGCGGTGGCCAGCCGCCCCCTTGGAAAAACACAGTAAAGGCTGTTAAGCCAGGAAAGGTGACGCCGGTCGTGAGCCTACAAAATTTCATCTTAGTAGTTTAAGATTTGTTCAAATGTCTTCTCCTAGCAAACAAACAAAATAACAGGGTGTCTATGCATTTTGTAGAGATAAAAGAATGATTGTGGCCTAAGGAATCTTTATGGATCAGCTTCTAGACACCAAAGAGGGATGGAGCAAGGACATTCAAAAACGGTCTCTTTCCCAGGCCTGTTCCCAGCCCCAAGCCTGTTCCCAGCCCCGGGGCAGGACGTTTTTTCCTCAGTGTGAGCCCTGTCACCACCTGGATTGAACAAAATCCAACTTTAGCCTGTTCAAACATATCGTATTTCATAGGTTTTTTTAAAAAGTAATAACTTTAAAAAAACAAAAACAACCCTCAGTTTTTCTAGATGATCGAGGTTGTTTACGTAAATGAGATTCTGAGAGAACACTGCTGGGTGGTAGGCTCGGTAGTTTCAGGGAAAACTTTAAACTTCTGGAGCTCTCCAAAGAAAAAGAAACGCAAAAAGAAAAATAGAACGTGCTCCTGAGGATACGGAGTTATTAAATCGAAAAGCTCCACTGTTTGCACAGTCACAGCACAATTTCTAGCTTATCTCTTATTTACTTAAACCTGTAATGGCCTCTGAGGTCCGACACCAGCCTCCTCTCCTGCTCTCCTCCTGGTCCCCTCCTTGTTCGTCAGACACGCCTGCCTCAGGGCCTTGGCACCAGCCATTGCCTCCAGGTGGAAGTCCTCCCGCTGGTGAGAAACTCCAAACCTCATTCAAACCGTTCGGATGCCACCCTCTCCAGGAGGCCTTGTCCTCCCTGTCCTGCCCTCCCGGGTGTTCTCTCCCTGCTCTATTATTTTCTCACACACTTACCAGTTTCTCACATGAACTTAATTTCATTGTGTTTGTTGTTTGTTTATCTAGTCTGCCTTCCCCTGACACACTCCACGAGGATGGTCATGTTTTGGTCACTAATAGTCGCCGTGCTTAGCGCAGTGCCTGGCCCAGCAGACACCCAGCACATATTTGAAGACAAATGAAAACATGTGCTGTAGACTCGCTCCCAGGGTTGGAGAGGATTCTGACAGTTCAGCATTCTGGATGCACACACCATATATGTGTATATTTTTGCCGCCTCCTCAGGTGTATTCCCTGGACTCGGCTGACTCTTTCCAGAGCTTCTACAGTCCCCACAAAGCTCAGATGAAGAATCCTATCCTAGAGCGCCTGGCAGAGCAGATCGCAACGCTCTGTGCCACCCTGAAGGAGTACCCGGCCGTGCGGTATCGGGGGTGAGGCCTCTCACCGCGGGAGGAGCGCCCCGGCAGCGGGCCTCCCTCGGTTACTGGTGTTCCCTCGCAAAAGCCTGGGGGAAGCCAAGAAAGGGGGGCCGAGGCCCCGTCTCCGGACAGAGTAGCGGCAGATTGGACTTCGTTCGTGGCAGGGCTGGGGCTGGGAACAGAGCTGTTCAGCCCTGAGCCTGGCCAGCGGCAGGCGGCGGGCGGCGGCCACACCTGTACACAGTTGGGAGGGGCCCCAGGAGTGCTGTCAGGCTTGGCCGCGGGGTAAGGTTCAGGGCTTCTCACTTCCAGCAAGACAAGACCCAAGGGGGTTTGAATTGAGGGAAGTGAGAGTCAGGTGGGTCAGGCTCGGGCCGGTCGTGGGAAGACGACGGATGGTCAGGGCCCTCTGCTGCTGGTGGTGGTTTATCCGCAGCAGTTTGGAAAGACTACCTCGGTTTGCACTTCAGCAGTTCAGAAAGAAGGAACTAGAGAATCACTTATTTATGTCCCAGGCACTGAGCTAAATCTTTTATTCTGTTTGTCCTTTATATGCAAAGATGTTCTTGTAAAAGAACAGCGCCCTTTGCCCCTCCCTTTGCCCGCTGAGCCCGTCCCCCTCTGCCCTCTATCAGGGAGTACAAGGACAACGCTCTGCTGGCCCAGCTCATCCAGGACAAGCTCGACGCCTACAAAGCGGATGACCCCACCATGGGCGAGGTGAGTCGGGGGGGCTGCGGGAGTGGCAGGCCCGGGGACAGCTCGGGGCGCGGAGCATGCGTGCTGTGAGTGCTGCGCCTCTGCTCGCGGGCCTCTGGCAGCGTGCTCAGGCCCCGGGCAGGCCGCTTGAGAGCCTGTCCGGTGTGGCCGGGGTCACCGACGCGTTTCTGTTCTCCGGGACTTCCCAGAGCGGGCACTGAAAGGCCTGCGTCCCGGGAACCCCTCAGCAGTACAGTGTCAACCCCAGAAGATGGGCCTTGTTCCGATTTCACTAGTTTGTGTACCCGTGTGTGTCGGTTCTGTTTGATTGTGTCACGTGCATAGATTCGTGAAGCCCCTACTGCAGTCAGGCCAGAGTTCCTTATTACCTCGGTTTTAAAACCACGAGGCCCGGGTCCTGGGAGCCCCCTCGGTCCCAGGCAGACTGGGTGGCGGGCCACTCGTTTGTAGCCGAGCCCAGGTGGCGCCCTTGTGAGCTCACCCTGGACCCGGCCACAGCTTCAGATCTGCCTCCAGGGGCCTCGCCCTGAAGGAGAAACGCTGGCCTCTCTCGCGCGGTGTTTGCCGGTGTTCTTGTCGAGCAGTTAGTGGCCTGCACTCAGTGCTGCTTTGTAGGCTCTGCCTCCCGCACAGAGGGGTGGGACGGCCGTGCGTGAGCGGCTTGGGAGACCCCCCTTCCTCCCCCTAGGGCCCAGACAAGGCGCGCTCCCAGCTCCTGATCCTGGACCGCGGCTTCGACCCCAGCTCCCCGGTGCTTCATGAACTGACCTTCCAGGCCATGAGTTACGATCTGCTGCCCATTGAAAATGACGTGTACAAGTAAGTGTCCACGCCCCGGAGGGCCTGCAGCGTTGCACACGAACCAGACACGCCTCTAGCTTAAGGGAAAGGGTGTCGTTAGCCCTAGGAAAAGTGGGGTGTCGTTCGCCCTAGGAAAAGTGGTGCACCGATCGTCTTGCCAATAAGCCTGCAAGCTCTGCTTAGTTCCCAGAATCCACGTGGCGTTTCTAGCCAGGAGCCAGGGCCCAGCGGGGGGGG